TTTAGGCTTCGGGTTTAGTACCTCAGGACTAGGGGCAATTGGCAGTTTGTTTTAGGCTAGGTCTCACGGCGAAAAAGAATGAATACTCAATCTTAGTCGAGCTGTGGCCCCAAAACAAAACCACGAAGTCCTAGCCGTCGGCTTCGCATCGGTTCCCCCTCATGCGGGAAGTGAGAACGGAAGGATTCAGAGCGCACTGCTTCGGTCGTAAAAAAAAAACTGGCATAACCTTTTCGGTTTAGGGGTTTACAGTTTAGGGTTTTCTTGCCAAGAAAGTGAAATTTACGTCTTGCTTGCCTGGAAGTCTTGAAGTGCCAACCCGGACCCTGCAGCAGCCTTCGAGGAACCGATTCCACAGGAGAATGGCTGGCTCTGGGTGCAGAAGGAGATCCGGGAACTCTGCCAACAGGGGATTACTCCGGGATTAGGGTTTAGGGTATTCGGGTTTAGGGTTTAAGGTAACAGGGGACTACGAAATTCGCAGTGCAGCTGTTGCATGTGGAGGGAATATGGGGTTGAAGGGTCAAAACCCTGCAAATTTTTACGGCATCTAGCTTCTGGGCAGCACGAGCACTCGGAGGCACATGGGTTGTCCATGACTCCTTTGTGTACCTTCTCTCCGAACAGCCGCAAAGCAACAACCCTCTCATCAAGCCCGACAAGCCAGACACAAGCAAACGATCCCCGAATTTAAGGCCCTTAGGCGCCTCCATCCTAAACTAAACGCTTCACCTCAACACCCTAAACCCTAAACCCTAAGCCCTCCTAAACCCAAACCGCAACGCCAAGGTCCAAACCCTAATCCCTACACCCTGCATTTTAGGGTTCAGGGTCCCCAGTTCCTCGGCAGGAGATGGACCGCCTCGTTGAGGAGCTGCCGGCTTTGAGGTGTTGCTGTGGCTTTCAAGTGCTCTAAAGAAAGGGCTTTGATAATTACCTATAATATTTTGGGGGGTCATTTATGATAATAATTGTAGAATCAAAAACCCCAAAACTCTATTCTAATTATNNTTATTAACGCCCCTACATTAGGGCTTACCTTTTTTAGGGCCTGAGCGCCGACAAGGTTAGGCATTTATGGGACTTAGAGTTTGCCCGGCTTCGAGTTTGTTTCAAGATGTGTTTTGGGCGCGAAGGAGCACGTGAACATGGGATTCTTGCGTTGCAGGGCCTCGGGTCTGGAGGGGGTGGGGAGGGGCTTGCTTTTCGCTTGTGGGAGGGGGGGGGGGGGGCACNNAGGGGCCGAAATAATTACAATACTATTTGCGGGCTCCTCCTTATAGTTATCGTATAGTATACCCCAAAACCCTATTCTAATTGTTTAGGCCCCTATATTGCTTCCCTCTGCTTGCCGGTGCGAAGAGCTCGGCAGTGGCTGTAATGGTCTGGGTCGGTACATGTACCAAATTCAAGCAGTGACTGATGAGAGGCATTAGACAAATCCATTCTAGGCCAAACCCTACAAGTTATATGTATATTCATCCCTAAAGTTCTCCGCGGATGAACAGTTTTGCTCAAATCAATCGGGAGGGCACCCTAAACCCTAAACCCTAAATTCTTGAAGAGGGCACCCTAAACCCTAAACCCCTAAACCCCAAACCCTAAACCTAAACCCTAAAACCCTAAACCCTAAATTCGCAGCCGATTTTCTGAGGAGTCCAAGGGCCTCTGTGGCGACAGCGCGTCGTCTTTGAGAAGATCTTGGTGCTTGAGGTCCTCTGACCAGCTCTTAAGGGTTTAGGGTCTTTAGGGTTTAGGGTATAGGGTTTAAGTATTGCTTAGGGGTAAGGTTTAGGGTTTAGGGTTTAAGTATTGCTTCGGGGTAAGGCCAACCTGTTATAAAAAAATATTGAGACTAGTTCTACAGCTTTTGATCCTAGGGGTTGGGGTTGAGGCTCCCTTGAGAGGGCATGGGTTTGAGAGATCAGGGCTTGTCTATTGGAAGCAGATAAGGACCCTCCCCCCCCCCCGTTCCGTTCTAGCCAGCTCCTTGGTTCAGTTTGGCAGACGACAGCTGTCCGAAAGGAGCAAAGATAGCCAGAAAAGAGTGTTTGCTTCAGCGGATCTGGCATCGTGCTGTTGAACACCATAGCTGAAACAAATCCTAAACCCTAAACCCCTAAACCCGAAACCCCTAAACCCTAAACCCCTAAACCCTAAACCCGGCTGCAGGGCCCGTGAACGCCTACACCTGGCCCCAAGTCGACCGCGAATCCCAGATCCCCAAAGCCAAAACAATCCATCCTTGCACCTGAAGCAAACCTCCTGAAACCCTGAACCCCCCAAATCCAGAATGTAGGAAACCCTAATTCCTAAACCCTAAACCCCTAATCCCCTAAGCCCCTAAAACCCCTAAAACCTAAACCCCTAATTCCTAAACCCTAAATATGAAACCCTAAAGCTCCAAACCAAAGAAGCCTCAGGTTCGACGACCCGAGGCCAGGGTGGGGACTCCTTGAGTTCGCCGCTTCCGGGGTGTGCTCGGGTTTCGGGGATTTTAGGGGTTTAGGGGTTTAGGGATTCGGGGTTTAGGGTTTGGGGTTTAGGGTTTAGAGTTTAGGGTTTAGGGTTTAGGGCCGAAGCCGCCAGCATAGGGTGTCGGGTTTGGAGTGACACTTCTGGGCTTCCCGGGTTCATATCTTCTACGGAGCTGACACCATGTTGAACAAACGACTGCAGTGGAATTCGCATGCCTTTTCGGTGGTTACGGTGCTCTTCTTCGTTGCCAGCACCTCGAATCAGTCGATGTCCTCCGTACCAGACTCCAACTCTTGAGTGGGTGCACTCAAGGTTGTGCAATTGTGTGAACAAAGACGACAGGTTGCCATAACATGAACTCTCAAAGACTGGCACGGAGCAGTTAAAACACTGGCAGGGATCAGAGGCAGATGATCTGGACGTACATAAGTTGGCCGCATGCCACCGGGTACGCAAGATCACTGCGCAGCAACTCAAGGTCTAAGTCCCTAGAAACCCCTGAAACCATAAACGCCCCCTCACATTACGGTTGATGATATAAATCCTGCATTACCCAGAATAAAGAATACACCATAAATCCCATAGTTTAGGGTCCAAGGTCATGCAGGATTTATATCATCAACAGTAGCAGCCCGAAGCCCCTATAGAACCGTTGAAGTAGGACCTTGATACAACCCTTACAAAGGCTTCACGACCCTTATGACATCCCTTACCCAGAGAGCCCAATACCCCTTAATTAAGGAATAATCCTTTCTTAAGGCCTTTCGATAAGGTATATATTCCACCTTAAACCCCTAACCCCTCAACCCTAAACCGTTCGGGGTCTTTCGGGCTCCCCGAGTAGACACGCATGAAACGCAGGTGCCTAGCATCGACTTGGTGGATTTGCCCGGACTGGCTTTCGGGAACCCGGCCAAGGCGCCATGGACGCTACGATATGATTGATTCTCTAAGTTAGGGTCCCGCTTTAGGTCCCCAATTATAGTACGGCACCCTTATAAAAAGACCCTAAAAGGGACCCTAATTTAGAGAACTATCCATGTCAAACAAAGAGACTGGGAGATTCCTGTGGGGCTTTAGGTTGAACGGGTTTGGGTTTCAGGGTTTAGGGCTTCAGGGGTTTAAGACGTTTGGGGTTTAATTAGGGATTTTTGGGTTTTAGTGTTTAGGAGTTTAGGCATTTTGTTTCGTATAGAACCCCGAAACCAGGAACCTTCCATCCTAAGTACATCTTATGCCCGCAACTCTTGCAAAGCATTGCCAAGTATATCAGGTCCAAAAAACCGTTAATACACTGAGTGTATAAGGACTGGGTGCAAGAGCTCGCCAGTTTCAGCTTCACCCCCGGGTGCTGGCCTATGTTTAGGCCTTCAGAGCTTCCACAACTGGTTTAAGAGCTTGCCGACCTCTTGTGAAGTACATGGTGTCAGAAATGTCCGGATGAGGCAGAATCGGTCACCTGTATTCTGGACAAGCATTTGCAAGAGGATGTGCACAACATGTGCCTTGGCATGCGTATCATGGAAGTCGAAATCCCTGCAGTCCCTTGGATGAGGGAGCCCGGCTTTGAATCATAAGCACTTGGACTTGGCACGACGTACTTAACCCAAACCCCGCTGCGTCTGTACATCCGTCAATCTGGCTCGCAGTTGCTGGCTCCCGTAAAGGGGCAGAATCTAAGCACAGCGCAGCCAAGAATCCCAATCACACACCGCCAGGCCACAGGCGTGGCAAAAAAAATTGCCTTCAAGCCACCCGATAAAGATCCTTTGCAGCCTTAGGCCCATGCTGGTGGTGGAAGCTCACAAGCAGCCCAATACCAGTCCAGCAGTACGCTACATCATGGAGAAGCAGCTCCAGGCTACATGTTCATGCTATACTTAATAGGATGTACCATAACCATAACACAATATCAGATACTGTAGTATATCGGATATCGTAACATGGGACCTTGGTATGGGGCTGGCTGCATGAAGGGGCGTTGAGTTTGGAAGCTTTGGGATGTCGTTTTGGGTATCTTTGTCGTTTGTAAGGCCGCTCAGGGCAGCATGCTGGATAGCAGAATGCAATGTAATGGAATATAGCATATTATATTATTGTTCAACATAACAGAACATAGCATGATAGTTTAATATGATATAACCTGATACGATGTGCCGTGCAGGACAGGACAGTCGGCATCGTCTCCAAGTGCGATCTGTGCATAGCCGACAGGGATGCTCTCCGAGCGCGGATCTTGCATGAGCCTTCATTGTCGGATGGCGCTTCGCCAGAGGACTTCCTGCACAAGCACCGAAAATCCAAGCTGAAAGCTGGGACGGCGTTAATCACCTTCAGACGTTGTTTAATGGCCATTCCTGCATATCACACGAAGGTGTGGGTTTCCATAAATGGGAACACTACTAAACCCTAAACCCTAAAACCCTAAACCCTAAAACCCTAAACCCTAAACCCTTAAGGGCAGGCATGTACTTACCATGTCCCTGGGCCCTGGTTGTTGCGAGGATCTCGGCGGTATCCGGATGAAGTGCTGGATCGCAAGCATGCAGGGACCCGAGAAGCAGGGCGAGGATCGGACCTCCGGGGGGGCTGGGTGCAGTCTTCCGGGGGGCGCAGATCAAGGTGTAGCTTTGCAAGTCTGTTTTGAAACAAAATTCTCAGAGGATCACGCATGGGCGGGTTTACGGTGCACCTTTTGTGATTCCATTGTTGCGGGGTTGCGGTGCATTTGCCGCCTTCAAAGAGCTGGGGCGTGACAGCTTCGGCAAAGTGACATGAAGGAGTGCATAGGCAGAGCCTCACCGGGAATATCTGGAAAACCCGCACTACGACATGCTACTTGGCGAAAAAGCTCCAGCTATCACAGTCGCCCTCGTGATCCCACTCGGTTTCAGGATCACGGCATTTTTCATGACCTCGCCTATTGCACGCGCAGTCCCAACCTGGACTCTCATATCTGAAGTGTAAGGTCTTCACTGTCACGAGTGCTTGCATGATTTGGGGGTTCCGAAAATAGGGGACCCTAATATGGTACCCTAAATGGTAGGATCCTTATTATAACCCCTAATTTTCGGAAAGTCCCATTTGACGAACCGTGAGCCTCCCTTAAAGCAAACAATCAAGCACCCAATTTGGTGAATCCTACAGCCTTGATCCTTTCAACAGTCCTGCACCCCGGAAAGCCGAACCCTGGACAACTCCGTAATCCCTACACCCGAAGCCCTAATCCCTAAACCCCCTAAACCCTAAACCCTAAACACTTAACCCTAAACCCTAAACCCTAATCCCTTAACCCTCAACCCTAAACCCTTAGCCTTAACCCTAATCCCTGAACCCTAAACCCTAATCCTCAAACCGCTGTGAGCCTCCAAGCCAGGAGCGCGCGAAGGAGTTCGCAACACACAACTTCGAACGGGTGTGGATGCAGCAGAAGATTGTGCCCAAGCTGCGGTGGTTGAGGCTTTCGGGTTTCTTTCGTGATTTGGGGGGTTTAGGGGTTCAAGGTTTAGGGTTTAGGGGTTTAGGGGTTTGGGGTAACACCCCCTTACGCTGACTCGGCTCGCCAGAAGCCCAGGAGAATGCTTTCTTCGCGAACATCTCGGAGCTGCAAGACCTCCAGGCGCAGCTCCAGCAGCCAAGAGACGTGAAGCCGGTACGAGGTTGCGGGGTTGAGAGAGCAGTTGGGCGAGCATGGGCCAAGGGGGCTGAAGGCAATCCCCAAGAAAAGCCGACACTGAAGTGCTTTCTGCTAGAGGTGGAGGCTCTCTTATGTTTCACAGATTGTTTTGTTCGTCTGGTGAGTCTTCGACGATCGAGCTTGGAAATTCGGGACCTGTGATCGGGTTCGCAGGAATCAGGACGTAGGGTTGTAATGCTTGCGGCTTATGGCGTTTGGGCTGCGGGCTTTCGCGGTAAAACCGCGATTAAATCAGATAGGCTGCCCCGGATTTTGTTGTATCCGGTGTAAACTTCGCGGTTATGATCACTTGCATGAGTATGTCCATAACAGGACGCGGATCCCCTACTGCCAACTGCAGGGATCGGAAGTGCTTCGAAAGTCACCGCTCGCTCAACGAATCTACCACCGAGTTTGAAACGTATCAGTGTCACTAGCAGAGTTTCTGATTCCGCAAAGCAGGCGAGCTCCACAGGACAGGCATGTGACAAACAGACAAGTTCGAATTGAGATGCAGCTGCAGCTACCTCTGCAAAGCAAGAGCAGTACGCAACACAACGTTAAGCCTCCCAGTGTACAAATAGTACCTGTTGACTTGATAAAGAGTACCTAGCGCCAGAGTGTGCGAACACTGACCCTAAACCCTGAGCCCTAAACCCTGAACCCTAAACCCTGAACCCTAAACCCTGAACCCTAAACCCTGAACCCTGGACCCTAAACCCTAGACCCTGAACCCTAAACCCTGAACCCTAGACCCTAAACCCTAGACCCTAAACCCTAGACCCTAAACCCTAAACCATGGCTCAAAACGTCGTCGGCAGGAGAAAGGACATGCCGGAATCCCGTGCCTCGTGGAGAAGCTCCACAAGGACGCCTTCTGATCAGGCTAGAAGGGGTACTACGTGGGAGTTTCCGAAAAATAAGGGGTACCTCATTTGGGACTCCTTAGAATAAGGATCCTACTCTTTAGAGTACTATATTAGGGTCCCCTATTTTCGGAAACCCCCACATGGGGTACCATAAGTGCTTGTATGACCGGTTCTACACGGGTTCTTCAAGGATTCTGTAAGGGGCCAGGCTTGTTTGAGGGAGTGTGTAGGATCACTGAGTCGAGTCACCCCATCCGAATGAGAACCCAAGAATGTCAGCCACGCACGCAGCTACGACGGTTTTGCAAGCAGTCTCCGGCGTGATTTACCGAAACGCTTCTGGTTAGGGTTGCTGTCAATGTTGGCCCCTAAACCGCAGGAATATCTCAACCACCTGCATCTCTCCTGGAAGTGGGACGCCTTTTACAAGTTGGAGGCCAAGTTGGACCGGCTGCAGTTCGATCTGAGCATGCCTCTTGGACGGGAAGGGCCCCAACGATTTCCACGTGGGCCTTGATACCAAAAATCTCGAAATGCTCCATATCTGGGATGAAGGTTATTGGCGGGATGGCCCTTCAAACTTGCCCGGAGTGCTGGTCCCTATCACTACAACCGCTGAACTGCATAAGCACTCGTCCTGTACACTCAGCTTCCACAGACAAAGGGTGGAAGGGAGACGGATATAAAGAGCGACAGAATTTCTGACAGAAGGTCACATTCAGTAGCCCAGGCTCGGAGTGGTGTCGGAGGAGCAGAAAGAGCAGCTGGCAAGTGCGGAGGTAGAGAGGCGCGGGCTAGAACTTCAGTTTTTACGGGTTCTCCTGACTTCTTCCCGGATTCCCTCTTCTGCTTTGCCTTGGCGGAATGGGGTAGTCTGGGCCTGGCTTCAGACCGGCGTCCAAAACCCTAGCCGAAACCCCAAACCCGAAACCCCTGAACTCCTAACCCCTAAACCCCTAAACCCCGGGTGTCCAAAAGCTCTCCCTAAACCCTAAGCCCTAAAAATCCCAAAAACCCTAAGATGAACCCTGAACCCTAAACCCTAAACCCTCCCTGTTAGGCGCCTGGGCCAGCACTCCCCCTTCACTCGGGCACCGAGGCTGCGATTAGGGGCTGAGTAGGTAACCTTTAACCTTTTGGGGCTTAGGGTTTAGGGTTTAGGGTTTGGGATTTAGGGTTTAGGGGTTTAGGGTTTAGGGTATAAATCTATTATACCTCAAAAGGTTAACCTTTTTTGGGCTAAGGTACTCGGCCCCTAAGGTTTAGTGGCTCGGGGGTTGAAGATCCAAGCAGTGGCTTCCGATAAGATAACTATTATAGGGGCGTTATTCAAAAATTGGAACAGGGTTTCAGGGTGTCAGTATAGTATATTTATTATTATAGGGCTTACAAGAACAAAAAATTGTTACCAATTATTCCGACCTCTCTATTGCAAGCAGCTAAGCAGCTGGGTGACAAGCTGGGTTTGCCGTGGCCTTCATGGACAGTCTGTAGCCCATAGACAGCCCAGGCTTTGTATCAGTCCTTCGTCACGGACGTGCTTCAAAAAGGCTTGTTTGAGAGGACTCATGGAACAAGCTTGGGGTTTCCGAGTGTTGTCGGGTGTGGCTTGGGATATCGAGCATTTGGTTTGACCTAACTTGGCCACTTGATGATAAGACACAGACAACAGTGACGAGTGTCAAGAAGTCTGGAGCACTTGACGGATTCAGATTTGTCTTGGAGACTTGGAGCCAAAGCCTGCTGCCTATGTCCCTACGTGGATAGCTCCACTTCCTTGGAACTGTGGGAAGACTTTAGCAGCAATACGGACCAAAACAAACCCTAAACCCTAAACCCTAAGCCCTAAGCCCTCAACCCTAAATCCTAAACCCGCAGATGCAAAGGACCCGAATATCACCAACCCCGGAGCGAACCATCCCGGTGAGGATCTCCCATGCCCTGCTCCAGTTCCAGGGAGAAGGACGCGGCCAGAAAGACAAGGGATTTAGGGGTTTAGGGTTTAGGATTTAGGGGTTTAGGGTTTAGCCGCCTTTCATGTTGTGCATTCGGAGTCCTCGACTGCCTTTGTCGTCGCGCATGTGTCCTCCTCCCCGTCTGTTTGGCGCTGGGAGTTGAGCTCCTTGCTCGCTGATGCCCCATTGGCGCCGTCTCCTCCTGTGCTTCCACTCCGCCCGGCTCTTGTCTATCGGACTCGGTCGCTGAGCTAGGTATTCTGGCTCGCCTGTTTCCGTTGGCTTGTTTCACCTTGGCCTTGACTCGTACAGTTCGTGTCATTTTTGGCCTTGCATGTTGTACGCGCCGGATCCCCGTACTGCGAGTGAGTGAGTGAGTGAGGTTTAGGGTTTAGGGTTTGGGATTTAGGGGTTTAGGGTTTAGGGGTATGGGTGTGGTGATGGGGTGATTGGAGCTTGAGGGCAATGTGAGGCTGCAAGGATCTTGCTTGTGACTCCAAGAAACCTTTGACGTGTGGACCTGGGGTCAAGCTAAGAGGTTGGCGACAGGAGGCACTGCGCAAGGCCTCGAGACTCTTGTCCCTAACCGTCCTTTGAATGCCTCTAGCCAAGACCTTGGTGAGACCTGCAAGCAGGATACATGTGCGAGGGCTACAAGCAGCAGAGTGCTATTGATCGGGCATGCGCTGAGATTCGCCAGATCACGGACGAGGCACACAACATCTTCGAGACTCGATCTTAAGCCAACTCAAGTCAGCAAACCCTAGCCAGCGCCAGGGCCCTCCACCTTGGAGGGCTCTGGAAGTAGTTGCAGCTATTATGCGCCGAAACCCTAAACTAAACCCTAAACCCCAAAAGCCCTAAACCCTAAACCGTATATCATGCGCAGCTACGTGGGAGCAAGCTTCCTAAACCATTTCGTTGTTTTCTGATCAGGAATTTGCATCTTCACCACTACCAAACCCAACACTAGAAGCCAGAGCACATTCGGTGAGTAGGGTATGGGGTTCAGCTTTGTGGCACACACATTGTGCGCGTAGGTTCTATACCCCCATTTAGTGCATAGGGATAGTGCATGTCTAGGCTTTGACATGAGCCATATACTTACAACCGTCAACTGTATAGAAACCCGGCCGAAACAAACCTCACAAGGAACCCCACCAACCCTAAACCCTAAACCCTAACCCTAAACCCTAAACCCTAAACCCTAACCCTAAACCCTAAACCCTAAACCCTAACCCTCGGAGGCTCTGAAAGCAGTGTCCAGTCAGCTGGTGGAGCCTCTCCGGGAGATCCTTCAGACGGAAAGCAAGGCCACCTTGCTAAGTTACTAGCCTTACAAAGGGCTTTAGGGCTTTAGGGTT